TCGGGAGTGTAAAAACGCTGGGTGGTTTTTTTTCTCTCCCTAAATAGAAACAAGGCCATGTTCCCACTTCAGAGAAGCTCCTTCGGCTCAGTGGGACCCTGGGCTTCAAGGGTCCCAGAAACATAACGGGCTCCTGCCTTCCGCACCACTCTCCTCTCCTCACCCCGCCTCCTCAGTATCAGGGGAGCTTCGGGTCCTCATTCCCTGGAAATGTCTCCCTAGGGAGAAGTTGACTTCATTTCCATCAGCATTAATGACCCACCTTTCCAGCACGATGCTGTGCGGGCTGCACAATGCCGATGAGATTTGGTTAAGAGACTGCTAAATCATGAATAAAAAGGGCACCACCAGCCCTCCAATACCTCATTATTTGCTCGCCTGAATCCAATAAGAAAAACAACTACACGAAAGGAAAGAAGGACAAAGACAGGCTAATTCTCAAGGCTTCTGGAAATTCTGGTTCGGAAGGCGGCGGGTGTGGTCTGGGATTTGGCTGCAGACCAGACTTAGGGCCCCTGTAAGCCTAAACCATGGCACGTGTTCCTGCCGCGTGGCTGGAGCAGGGAGGTCACAGTGGTCAGGGCACCCACCAGTGGCTGCCTCAGCCGTGGAAATGGCAGGACAACCCTCCGTCCTTGCCTCTGGGCTGCCAAACAGACTGTGCTCAGCCCCAAGCCTGCCACCCTGGGAAACCTCTCCTCCCCCACGGGGGACCCCCTCGTCGTCCCACACTCAGCTCTGCTCTGCAGCTGGAAACCAGCCTCGCCCCAACAGTTTCACCAAGTTCTGGGTCCACCTTTGCCACAGGAGCCTACAATCTGGCTTTTTGTTTTTTCTCTCCAATCTTACTTCACCATTTTAAAAGCACTTTTCTAAAAAAATATTTGAAGAGGGACGCCTGGGTGGCTCAGTCGGTTGAGCATCCAACTCTTGATTTTGGCTCAGGTCATGATCTCAGGGTCATGGGATGGAGCCCCATGATGGGCTCTGCGCTCAGTGTGGAGTCTGCTTGAGATTCTCTCTCTCCCTCTCCCTCTGCCCCACCCTTGCACCTCCCCCCTGCTCACACATGCGCGCGCGCGCTCTCTCTCTCTCTCTCTCTCAAAATAAATAAATACATCTTTTTTTTTTTAAGATTTTATTTATTTATTTGACAGAGAGAAACACAGTGAGAGAGGGAACACAAGCAGGGGGAGTTGGAGAAGGAGAAACAGGCTTCCCGCAGAGCAGGGAGCCCGATGCGGGGCTCGATCCCAGGACCCCAGGGATCATGACCTGAGCCGAAGGCAGACACTTAACGACTGAGCCACCCAGGTGCCCCAATAAATACATCTTTTTAAAAATATTTGAACAAAATCAGCAGATCATAGAAATGATATGGGTGGACTGTATCAATATCAACATCCTGGTTGTGATATTGTGTTATATTTTTTTTTTAAGATTTATTTATTTATTTGAGAGAGCGAGAATGAGAGAGAGAGAGTACATGAGAGGGGGGAGGGTTAGAGGGAGAAGCAGTCTCCCTGCCGAGCAGGGAGCCTGATGCGGGACTCGATCCCGGGTCTCCAGGATCATGACCTGAGCCGAAGGCAGTCGCCTAACCAACTGAGCCACCCAGGTGCCCCTGTGTTATATTTTTGTCAGAAAAATTTTCCCTTCTTTGGAGCTATCATAGTGACCATCCTGTAACTCAGAAGGGCCAAAGGCACAGTCCCAGACACAGAGTCTTCTCAAAGGGCAGAGGTTTAAGAGACCGACAATCCTCCTTAGTATATTTAGAGCTGGTTGTACTTACCAAAGTATTTCTAATCCATTAACTCATTTGCTCCTTATAATACTTGTCAATACTTTTGTATAAAGAAACAAAAGCTAACTCAAATATTTGTTAATTCTTGGTCACTCAGGAATTGATGATTCACGATTATGTTAGCCTTTTCTGGGCCTCCTCCTATCTTGCAGGACATTTTACCATCTTCCTACCAGTGGATAGGTAGTAGTCTGAGAGATAGAGAATGAGTCTTGAGTCAGAGAGGTGAGGTTAGAACCCAGCTCTATGACTCAGTAGGTGGCCCTGCGTTAACCTCCCTGAACCTCTGTCTCTTCATCTGGAACAGGGAGGTAACACCCACATTGCAGAGCTGAAGCAGTGATTAAATGAGACACCTCGATAGAACATGTGGTGATTGCTCACAATGTTAGCTCTTCTGTCAAAAGTTGTTTTTAAAATAAGATTGGTTCCATAGAAACAAGAAGAAACAACCGAAGTGAAAATTTTCGATTATCAAAGAATTTATATTATCTACAAGAATCCCTGAGTTCATGGGCAATCGAGGATCATCTATAATTAGTAGCTGCTACAGAAATGCCCAGATGAGCAGGAGGATTTCTTTTTTATTTTCATTTATCTGAGTAAAGAAATGTTGTCCCATTATCTTACCTTTCAATAAGAAATCCACTATTAAAGCTCTGCATGTAACTAAAGTCCACAGAACACTAAGTACAAGTGTGTTCTCATCAGATTTCCACATTTTAGCTGTACACGCAAACGCAGAATTTAGGAATGATGACTCCCCGCCCGATGTCCAGAATGACTGGGGCACAGGTGTGTTTTTCAATCTAACCTGCTTAAGAGAATGGCCTTATAAACCATACATAAGTGGCCAAATTCCAAAGAATATCAAACATGACAAAACATATTTGGGGTGAATATATTGACCACTCCCTTCTGCCTTGTCCAACACAAGCCACTAACACTAAACTTCTCAAACCATAGTACGTGGGCCTGGAAGTAGGTGGAGCCACAAGGTTACAATGGCACATCTTCCTAGAACATCGGTGTTCCTCAATGGGAGTCCGTGAGACACCCAGAGTCGCCCGAGTTCATGTGTTCACCACTCTCTGCACTTGAGAGTACTCAGGGGAAGCCTGAAAAGCACTATTGAGGGGCACCTGACTGGCTCAGGTGGGAGAGCATGCAACTCTTGATCTCAGGGCTGTGAGTTCAAGCCCCATGTTGGGCGTGGAGCCTACTGAAAGAAAGGAAGGAAGGAAGGAAGGGAGGGAGGAAGGAGTGAGGGAGTGAGGGAGGGAGAAAGGGAGGGAGGAAGGAAAACACGGCACTATTGAGGGTGAGGGAAAATACCAATTTACTGAACACCTATCTGCCAAGGCCTGTGCTAGATGTCTGCACATCAATCATCTTAATTTCTCACTTAGTCGTTCAACAATCATGGGAAGAAGACAGGGAACAGCCAGTGAGCTTTATTACTGTTTTGAGATACATTTTAACCAGGCTTTCAGAACCCAGCTCAGCGTTAATATCACATCCTTCAAGTCATGGGCCCTAGGTTGGGGTGGGGGGGGAAGACACTAGGAACTTGGTAGTGAAAACACCAGCAGCAACCTCAGACATGAAAACATCGGTTGATATATATACAAAATGTGCTGGTGGGTTATGAATTTTGTTTACTTAAAAAGAGCAACTTCTGAATATAAACATATGACTGAATTTACTAATAAATACTAATAACTACCCACATGTGATACATTTATATACATATAATATTTTGTTAAAAACCTCTTAAAGGCGCACCTGGGTGGCTCAGTCATTCAGCGTCTGACTTCAGCTCAGGTTGTGATCTGGAGGTCCTGGGATGGAGCCTCCGCCTCCCAGCAGGAAGTCGGCTGCTCCCTCTCCCTCTTCTTCTCCCCCAGCCCCTCCCTCCACTTGTGCTCTCTCTCTCAAATAAATAAATAAAATCTTAAAAACAAAAAACGAAAACCTTCTTAGTGCTTATTTTGTTTCCCTAACCTAATCAGGCAAGAAATAACTTTGCTCCTGCCACAAATTTCAGCCACTGTTTGCTCAACAGAATTTGGCCAAGAGATGAGCCTTCTTTGGTGTAGTGTATACCACTTCTCCCCAGCCCACCCAGATTGTTCCTTGTCCATGTCGCTGCTAAGTGTTGCCCTCTGAGTCTTCTCACCAACATGAAAGGAACCTATTACTGCAACTGGTTAGAAATAAAAGCTCCTTGACTCAAGTTGGCCTGTTGAGCCTGTTGGGCCTGTCCTCCAATCCATCGCCTGTTGAATAACACACACGACACAGAAATTGCCTGTCATGAACACCAATACAATATACAAATATCAGCTATTTTTGTTGTCCTCGTGACTATCGTATTTTACACCCATTCTGTTGGACTGCCTTGGGACTCCCACAAATATGGTCAAATGCCCAGCAGCAGTTTAAAAAACTCTTAACATGTGTCTGGTTGGCCACTTGGATGTCTTCTTTGGAAAAATGTCTGTTCATGTCTTGGATGGGTCAGCCTGGTGATGGCTATTAAAGAGGGCACATATTGAATGGAGCACTGGGTGTTATACACAAACAATGAATCATGGAACACTACATCAAATAAATAAATTAATTAATAAATTAATTAATTAATTAAACTCCAGTCTTCATTACAAAAAAAAAACCTCTTAACAGGCCAGACATAACAAATTGTCAATTCGGTAAAATATGAAAAATTTATTTGCCATGAAATTAAAAGAATTTGGGCTTTGGCGGAACACTAAAACTGTTTGAAACATACACTCGTCTTCCTTCGCTGACTCAGCAAGGAGCCAGGGATCATGCTGTGTGCAGAAGACAGAAGAAGTGTTGGCTGAGAATATTCGCGCAAAGTGGACACCAGAGAACAGTTTACTGTGTGGTTAGAAAACGGAGCTGCTTCCAAGAAAAGCAATTCTTTGGTTTCTATGATAGGCAACAAACTTCTTCCCCCAAAGCTGCCGTGGCAAAGCAACGCAGTCTCCCCCGGTGTGGCTAGTCTTCTATTAGAAGCCTGTAGGGGCCACAGTCGTAGGGGAAGAACACCCCCAAAATTATGAGGGATTTCACAGGCTGCTGCACCGCTTTTGGATACGCTTACTCTACAAACATCCCCCTAAACGGCAAAAGGCATCAGAGAATTTGCTCCATCGTCCGTTCTCACCTTTGCATCCCTGTGGTTCTTATTTCCTCTCTGGAAATGAACTTCTGAAAGAAAACACAACCCAGCGTGAGCACCAGATGTAGACCCTCTCGGTGCCCAGATTCCTTGCATCACGCTTGCGCAAAGCCTTGGACACTGCGAACGGTCACACCATCAGGGAGCGGCTCCGGTGACTCCCACAGCCAGGCCCAGCGATGTCACACGTTCCTGCAAGGCCAGGACAGACAGCAGAGTGGAAGAGCTCACCTACCAGGAAGCAGAGATCACATCCTCCTGAGTTCGCCCGGAGATTCCAAGAGAGAACAGCTCTGACAAAGTCCCCAGATGGCCAGTCCTCCCAGATGACCCAAGTCTCTTAAGCAGTGGGCAAGAGGAAAACACACTGGCAAGTCTCCATGGCCATTACATTTCTGTGCATCCCCTAGGATGACAGAGGATCCCTGGGACCCCTGAGCGTTTCCTTACTATTCTACAGAGAACACTTTATTGGGATTATAAAGTAAGGATCTGCATTACTCTGCATTTTTTTTTTTTAACTTAAAACTGACTTCTGGTGCTTTCTTCACTAAATCACAAACCTACGATTGTTTGTGAATATGCTGGCTCCAGATAGATCTGTATTTTGGTCTTTGGTTGCCAGGAAAATTCCAGACTCCCAACTCTGGCTGCCAGTCTCCGTGTTTTTATTCCATCAAATCTGAGCAAGACTTAAGCGGTCGGAGAAGTGGAGATGCGAGAAGCACATTGACCGTCACAATTTCCTACGGCCTCTGATCTCTGTTTCTCCAGTTTCACCAAAACTTAATGGAACCGAAAGGCAGAGAGGAAAAAATAAAGATCTCTCCCTTTAAAAAATCATGTCATTGTTGAAATTTTAAAAAATAACCGTATTAATAATTCATCTGATTCAGAAACGGTGAAAGAGAAATCTGCCAGTTAAAAGACCAGAATGAGAAAAAAAAATAAACAAAGGAGAAATGTTGCAAATATCTACATCATCTACCGTGGGAACATCTCTACAGTATTTTCAGAAAATAACTGCCTTGAAGATACGTGGAACATGAGTACTATGTTGGGGGGTGTGCGTGTTTCAATTTGCTATAACTAATACGTCACAGTAAAGGGACGATTTACATTTAACCACTTTCTGAGTGGAAAAAAATAACAGACTTGTCAGAGTAATATTTTTTCTGTTTAATAACCTATGGTTATAGTCACAAATCATAGCAATAACATGATCCCAAATCCAGCCCCACTGTTGTGAAGACAAACTATAATGGTCAAATCAACTTTTGATTTATTCACCTAAATTCTGGTCTCCTACCAATACAGTAGTAGATTGGGGTACAGTGACTGCTAAAATGTGTTTCTTTATTTGAAACTTAACTGAAGGGATAATGAGATTATGTAAAATGACATCCTGATCGCTGTAGCCAAAGAATGAAAGTGAGAATTTACCCCACTTTATTATCCTATGGCGAGAATATTATACACAAACTCAGCTCAGACACGCAGGAATACAGATCAGCAGTTAACCTCCCTCCTGACCTCAGTGGGAACTGCTCTCACCTCCTTCCCCGGGGCCCAGAAGCATAAGCCTTCTCCCCCTCGCTCATCATCTCCTTGTTGTCTGTCCCTTCAAGCAGCTCCATGAAAGCTTGGACCCTAAGGCTCCCACGGGCAGCACCTAAAATAGTGCCTGGCACATCACACAGGCAGACTGGTTCAGTAAGCCCCTGTGATTGAATGACTGAACTTGAGAGCTTCTGAGAAAGGAAATGGAGTGGATGACCTCACCCTTTCATGATGCATTCAACCGGCTTCCCTCTGCCACGGGCTCTTGGTCTAGTTCAATGTCAAGTGGCATGCCCAGACAGATTCACTTTTGTCGGTGGGTTGTCTTTGGCAGAATTCCAAAAGTCAACACAGTATAAAAAGATACATGCAGACGGAGCCATTCCTACACCTACTCCCAACCCCTACGTTCCCCACTGACTGCTACAGATCCGCGTCTGTAGTCGTTTCTCGTTTATCTTTCCAGTGTTTCCCTATGCAAATATAAGCAAATTCCCCTACATATCTCCAGATCCCCACCTTTCTTACATAAAGATACCATAGTCAATACACCAGTCTCCAGCTTGTTTCTTTCACGCGGCAATGTACCTGGACACCATTCCACATCAGAACACACATCATCACTCTCTTTTAACAACCACACGGCACCCACTGCACAAGGACGGCATCATTCAACCACTCCCTCACAGACTGCCCTACATCTGGTTGCTCCTGGTGCTCTGGTGTTACACGCAAACCTTCAATGCTGCCCTTGTGTAGGTGTCACCTAGGTATGCGTGCAGGTGTGTGTGTGGGGGGAAGACTCCCAGAACAGGACATCTGTAATGTTGGTTTACACTGTACGGTTGTTAAGAAATATTGTTAGGTGCCGTGGTGGTGATAGCTTCAATGTGCGTGTGTGTTACAGGGCACCAGAATATTTTTCCATTCTCGTCAAGGGGAGTGCTAACCTGATTCTTCACTTTCATGAAACACAGACCCTTTGAAATTTTAAATCAGTGCAGCATCCCAGTGGTAGCCGGAGTTCAGTTTCCCTATTCTACTTCCATCCATCAGTTTTCTAGGCTAACAGATTTTCCCACTAGTAACCTATTAGAGGAAAACAGGCCCTCTAAAAAAGCCTTGAAAGCCTAGTTAATATGGGTGGAATTAAATTTTTATAAGAGTATTCAGGGATTCTAAATCAGCAGCAAATACTTTCTTTTCATCACAATACCCAAAATGACATGGAAAGAAAAACATAAATGAATATTTAAAAACCTTATTCATTCCAATGCAGGGACCCCCAAAAGTAGTTGATATTCTGAGTTTTTTTAGTAATTCATGACTTTTTTTTCACAGTGACAACCTAAAATTAGAAAATGATGCCTATTTGCAGAATTAATGAAAAGGTCTTTTTCCCACCCTTCCAGAGAAGGCATGAGGAAACAACATACTTTCACATGAGAATCTCGGCTCTCAGGAAGCTGACCCTCTGACTTAGAATATTTATTACAGTCAAGGAGCACAAAAGCAGTGATCTCCTTTTGTTCCAACATATACTTTGCTAAATACAAACATACTAGACTCTATTCCCTTGTTTGATACAGTTTTGTATGATCCATTTAATATACTTCAAAACCATGTGTTATGAACAATATGATGTTCTCTCTGTATTTGTGACTATAAACCAATTCTAGGGACAGTTAGTTACCTTAATCAATAACTCACCAAGACATGTTCAAGAATGTTTTTAGCTACTTTATTCACAATAGCCTCAAACTGGAAATAATAAAATGTCTACCAAGTATAGAATGGGTATCTAAATTTCATACAATGGAACACTACAGATCAATGGGAAAAAATGAACAATTTATACAACATGAAGGAAACTCACAAAACTTACGTATGATTCCATTATATGAAATTCAAACCAGCAAAACTAATTCGTGGTGACAGAGGTCAGAACGGTGATTACCTTCGAGAAGGAAGGGCATTATTCTGACTGAGGAAAAGGGTCCCAGAGAGCTTTCAAAGGTGCTGGAAATGTTCTACATCTTGATCTAGGGGGTCCTTAGATAGGTTAAAAAATTCTGAAATTTGTTATCTTTACTATATATAAATTATATCTCAGCATCCTGAGCTGGTCCTTACTCCAGGAACAGCCAACTAGAACAGCTCCTGTTATCTATATTTGAGTAATATTAGCTCCGCTGCTGACTAGCAAAATGAATGTGAGGAATGATTTTTTTTCTTGGTGAAATCAGAGGTTAATTAGCACGATGAGCGTTAAGAATGGGGTACAGAACAGGGGCGCCTGGGTGACTCAGTCGTTAAGCGCCTGCCTTCGGCTCAGGTCATGGTCCCAGGGTCCTGGGATCGAGCCCCGCATCGGGCTCCCTGCTTCTCAGGAGGCCTGCCTCTCCCTCTCCCACTCCCCCTGCTTGTGTTCCCTCTCTCACTGTGTCTCTGTCAAATAAATAAATAAAATCTTAAAAAAAAAAAAAAAAAGAATGGGGTAAAACAGTTTAGATAGTCTCTATCCTTGAACCAACAGGGTACAAGACTCCATCCGACAAGGCCCAGGGCCTGTACCCTTAGACTTGATCCCAAAATGGTCCAGGCATTGGTTTGGAGGATTTCTGGGCTGCCTGATGCCTATCATAATGGAAATGGAATCCTGCTTTTGGAATATTGGCAACTTTGCTTCAAGAGAAGCTTTCATCCTAAGTGGTGGTCAGAGCACCTAAGAGGACACAGAGCGGGAACTTCAGGTGACAGAATGGAACGTATGGACTAGATTCTGCCTGACTGCTAATACCCATTTGTTTAAGAAGTGTCTTGATGCTGAATTTGTTCGGAAACTTGCTGTCATTTAAGCTGGTCATGAGGCTGTAAGAGAATAGCTAATCCTCGCTCAACTACAACTTTCCGGTGGCTACCATCCCCTACCCCAAAAAACTTAAGAGTATGCATGACCAGTCTGGCTTAGCCCTATTGTCAGCAAGTCTGGAGACTGTTAGAGCATGAAAATGTGCACACATGCATGTTGGAGGGTGATACGTTTCCTTATGAACAAAATGAAGAATGGAACCAGAGGTGAGAAAAGTTGTATAAATGGGTATATGACAGCACAGCAACACCCAGAGAAAGATGCCAACCAGGGGGAAGTTTCCAGCAGCACCCACAGCTCTTGGAGGCTTGTACAGAGAAATAGAAGATATGATCGTATTTGTGAATGACCCAAAATTAAACGAGATGAAAGACTCAGAATTCTAAAAGGTCTTGACAGGCTGATTTGGTAAACTCCATCTAACAATATTAAATATACAATTTAGGTGCACAAAAATTAACAACTCAGAACAAAAAGGACAAGGATCAATGACAAAATCCATTATACTCGTTACATTTAAAACTTTAGGGGTTTTGGATAACAAGTTCAGGTTCAATGTGAATTGGAAATATGTTATGGTCACCAAAAATGTAATGCATATATTACATTTAAAAAAAAAAGTTTACTTTGAAAAGATGTAATGCAAACAGATACTTGTTCATCTATGTTCATATCAGCATTAGTCACAAAAACCAAAAGGGAGAAGCAACCTAAGGGTCCACTGACAGATGAATTGGATAAACAAAATGGGACATATCCTTGGGGGCACCTGGGTATCGGTTAAGCATCTGCCTTTGGCTCTGGTCATGATCCCAGGGTCCTGGGGTTGGGCTCCCTGCTCGGCAGGGGTCTGCTTTTCCCTCTCCCTCTGCCCCTCCCCCTATTTGTGCTGTCTCTCTCTCTCTCTCTCAAATAAATAAATAAATATCTTTTTAAAAAATGGGACATATCCATACAATGGAATATTCATCTCCCTCCATGAGGGGATTGCTGGTCACCTGTGAAAGGAAAAGTCTCCCAAAACATGTTCTGCCTCAAGTCCCCAATGTCTCTACCCTGGTTCCTGGTACATCAAGTTCCCAATGTCTCTGCCCTGGTTCCTGGCACGCTCTGGGGCAAAAGGTCTGTCAGTCAGAGGAGCTGACTTCCTGGACACTCAGGGCATGGGCACCCTTTCAGAGAAGCCCGGAATTCCTCTAGGTAATAAATATTTCAGAAAGCCTTGGCTCTCCATCCCACTTCCTCTCTGCTCCCTCCCCAACACACACACACACACACACATACACACACACGCACACACATCCATCCTGAATCTCTGCCTCCCAAATGCAAACAGTTGACTGGTATATTCATTCATGCAATAAATATTCAGAGTTTAGGGGAAATTTTGAAGTTGAATTTTTTTTTAAATATTTATCTCTTCAGGGAGTGTGTATCTCATGAATGACAATATTTATTGAACAATACTATTATCAGAACTTATCTCATTTCTCTCTCTCCTAAAATAAATTAGTCTATGAAGCTGACACAGAGGGAAGGAGCCCACAAGGCACCCACAATGCTGGGGAATGCCAGGTCCCAAGAAGAAGATTACTGTAAGGGGGAAGAATCATTCACGCTCTTGGTGTCCCTTTCTCTGTGGCTGTTCCTCCCTGTGTCCCCTCCCACCTCCTCCTCCACAGGGCAGGAGGGGGGACTTGCCTGGCTGGCCGGGAGGAATGGGAAGGCTGGAAGCTCAGCCCCTTCTCCCTCTGTCCCTTGGAAACCTGCTGGAAGCCCACCTAAGGTTTTGTCACATATCACAGCCTCCAATTTAGCTTTTATCAGAAATAGTTATTACTTTGGTCTCCACCTGCCTGACCCCTCAACCCTAGTTCTCAACTGGTTCAGAGCACCGGTGGGAAGAGCATGTTCCTAATCAGCCCTCATACCTCACACACATAACAAGGTGGTCCCAGGCAGGTTTGTGGGTGGAAGGCTAAGAGGCTGGGAAGTGGCTTCACAGGGACACCTGCACGATGACAAGAATGTGCCAACAGGCCAGTGATCTCTGAGGCTGGAGGACCCAAGATCCCCTAGGCTGTCACTATAGGACTTTTTCACTCTTTCGTTCTGGAACAATGGGACTTCCCCTGGACAGGTAACCTGAGAGACCCAGCATTCAGTCTCTCTGAAGAAAATACCAGAGTCTCAGATAACAAAACAAAATGAAATCAGAAGGACTGCCCAAGTCCTCCTTGTAATTGTTAATGGCACTGAACGTTTATGGAGCACAAAAAATGTAAGCCACTCTTGGGCCTAAAACTCTTTCTGGCAAGTGCACAACCTACCTAACGCTGGGTCTGCCCAACCCAGTGTGACATGCGCTCCCCACCTGTCTTGACTGATCCCATGAGCCAAGCAATTTCCACATTTCCATCTCATCGTGCTAGAGAGCCATAGTTGATGTCTATATATTTTGGGTCCTCCTTGTCCAAGAACAAGAGAGAAATGAACAGCATTAGAGCTGCACTTGGTTAAAGGTATTAAAACATGAACACTGAGCCTTAGAGACCACTTAGTACTACCCCTCATTCCCCACACAAAGCAACTGCACTAACATAAAGTAAATGCGGTGTCCGACCTACCCATACCTGGGGAAGCCTGAACATGAACTGGATATGAGAGGATATTAAAGACATATTATTAATTGTGTTAGTTATGATAATGTTATTTTGGTTACCTGGGGAAATTTCTTTCTTTCCTTCCTTCCTTTCTTGGGGGGAATGGAGGGGACGGAAGGCCATATTATACTAGGGGTGGAATGTCAAGATATCTTTTTTTAAGTTGAGATATAATTGACATATAACACTGTGAACATTTAAGGTGTACAATGTGTTTATTTGGTGCCCCCCTAGAGTCAGCTAACGCCTCCACTGGTGTTACCATTTCTTTTTTGTGCTCAGAACATTTATGATCTAGTCTCTCAGGAACTTTCAAGTATATAATACAGTGTGTTAACTCTATTCACCATGCTGTGCATTAGATTCCCCAGAACTTATTCACCTTCTCACTGTAAGTTTGTACCCTTTGACCAAGATCTCCCCAATTCTCCCACCCTCTG